AATATAATATATCCTAGACTGGCAAATCATCTCCGTTCAGAATCGTTTTACGTATACAATGATACCTATCATTGCATTCAAATTTAATCCCATCCATTACAGTAACCTACTGTACAGCAGAGCGATAGTATTACGACTTACCCGCTTTTTTATAGTTGAATAAATCAGTACCAAATGTCCAAATATACCTAATTTTAATGATTATAATGATTACTATGTACATTTGCTTCTTATCAAATACTTAATTAATCTATTTYGAAGCAAATCAATGTTGCACTTTTATCGTTAAAAATTTAAATATAATAGKTATTAATTCGATTATCAGTGAAAAAMATTTCAAACTTTCTATAGATATTTTGTATTTTTTTCGCACATGGTAATAAAATGAATTAGATTATTTTCTCTATAGTTTATACAATGATATGATGCGTGCATAATGAATACCTACAAAATATACTAAAGTTGAGTTCGGAACATTTCAAACAAAAAGTTCCTAGAAACTCGGATAYACTAAAATATTATATTAATATCACACATCCAGTCGTCTTATGTTATTGTTAGGTATTTGTTTAATTGTTTTCATTGTAGTTTTTCAGTATACCTACCGAAAACGCGAGCGAATTATGACAAGGGACGATAATAACGTCGAGACAGGCGACCGAAATCTTAAAAATCGACGGAGAAAACGGGTGTGTAGCGTGTTAAATGGATCAGCCACCCGCTGGCCTGCCACCTCACCGCCTTTACCACCAACGAAGGGCGCGTACGAAAAGTTTGCGTGTGCGCGACCGCGTGTGCGCGTACACGCATTTCCACACACTGTCAAAAGCACCGCGGGACTTTTGTCAGTCGTACTTCGGGCGCCGCGCGYGAACAACAGACTGAAAACCACCCGACCAGCGTGTCGTCGCCGGATCGCCACCAGCGGGGCGCGGGATCGTAGTAATAGTCGTCTTCATCATCAACGCCGTAGTAAATTATTGTAACCGTTTAAGAAGAATCGTGTGATTTTCGTGTGATTTATTTTATGTTTTGTTTGAGTTCAGTTATTCTAAGTATTTTATRTTTTTTGAAATACATATATTATAATACGTCGTCGTGTCGGTAATTTATTATTTTGATTCGTTTAACTATAGGGAAACCGTCGATCGCTGCACTGCCGATAGGTAGATAATATTTCGATATAATTATATTATTCTTCGACGTTGGCCACGACGACAATGACGGTGGACGAGATGAACTCGACCGTCACAATGTGATCGACGACCGCAACAAGAATCGCAAAGGGGAGACTACCACGTTTTATGGAGACGCGTGGTTGTCCGTTATCGGACCGGTGCTAAACAACCGATAGCCGCACTGCAACTACAGCCGTCATGTTTGCGGTCACGTGGCTGCTGTTGGCCGCGGCCGCTGGTGTGGCGATGGCCAGCGAGTACCCCGAACGCGAATGCTGTGATCCCGTCAACCCACCACCGGCGTCCATGTCAGCGACGCCCGACAATGCGGCGGCCGCTGGCCACGAAGTCGCGCCGCCCACAGCCACCTCAATTGACGGACATCGGGGTATGGATCTAAAAATAATTTACTTTTGGTATTTTTAGCATACATTTGATCTCTCATTTTCACCATCTTTCGTCGCTATTAACGACCGTGRTATCTCCGATATCACAATACAATATACCTATACATGTTTATGAMATAAWTGTTACAAAATCGCTTTGTTAGATCTAAACACGTGGAGAATATAATGGTTAATATATTATTATAATTATTCGTCAGGTAAACGCATAATATGTAAGTAGGTATCTAATAATTTTATCATGTGCACAGTCAATAGCTATTGTATTTTTATAAAGCTCTAAAATATAATATTACTACTTATARATTACTCGTATCATAGATTTTTTTTTACATATTATGGTATCAAATAACATGCGGTCTAACTAATTGGGATACTTTCTAGAACCAAACTGCCTAACTTAAACTATGTGAAACATATCAAAGTCACATCACTATTATTCTATGACWAATGGTTTTTGTAGGGTATACAAGAGTATACGGCGTATACTTAAAAACTATTTGGTGAATTAACGCATATTCTGCAAAAATAGTACAAAGACGCACATATACAATTTTTTTTTTAATTGGGTAATTTGTATTCTGTATTATTTTTTAATATCACATTTGGCATTAATTACCAGTTATCTATAAGTTAGAACCATGTAACAAATCATTTATATTAGTTATCACCACGTATAAGTGTATACCTATTTGTGTAATTACTCATTGTCCATGATTATTGCAATTTTTTTGAAAAAATCTGTTCTAGTTGCTCCCATACGAATCGTCAAGAGCATTATATCAATTTAAATGTTATACAATTTTAAATTTGATTTGTGAAATAGTTGTTAATACTCAGGTAAATAAATAAAAATATTCAAAACTGTGTAACAAAAAATTATTTTTGTTAAATATATGCGAATTTATGAATGTATTTCGTGAAGTTTTGTAAAACAATTATTGTATACGAGCGAAGTTACCGGTTTTTCGAAGGATTAAATCTGATTAGTTTTGAACTTATAGAATTACAATATTCATCATCACCCATATTGCATTATTATGTTTATAAATGTATAGTTTTTTTTTATTAAAACACTACTGGCTATAACATATATTCGAGTCTTATAATGAATAACAATTATTGCGTTCACTTATATGGCCTGTTTTACAATCATAATTTAAACCTCGGTTACGCCTTGAACCACTGATTTTAGCGGCCGAATTCGGTGGTTTAACGTGAGTTCAACTATTGTAATACGAGTTCTTAATCATTATAAAGTGATTTGCGATATCTGTACAGACGCGCGGTTTCTTATGCAGAATTATAAAAATACGTCTCTTGACCGTCCGGCAATCATATAATATGTTAA